TAAAGTTAAAAAAGTCTCATTTTTAAAAGGTTACATTTACAAAATCAAAAATTACAGCGGTACCTCGGGATACGAACGCCGCAGCATACGAAATTTTCAGGATACGACACGAAATTCGAACATATTTTTGCTCCACGATACGAACAAAAACTCACCATACGACGTCACATTAGTTCGCAGCGCCATTTTTTATTCACTTCCGTTCGTCGGTCTCGGTCCGCGCGTTTGCTTCGTGGCGGAAGGATCTCGCTCGATAAAGGAAATCTCGAGGTATTATCGGAAAGCGACCGATTTTATTGAAAATAAACATCCCGAAAAGGTTCACATTGACCGTATTGCCGCTCGGAGTAACGACATTTGCCTAAACCATTTTAGAAACATNACGCAAAAAACCGCCTGTAAATCTTGCATGCCGCTTTATATTAACACTTCCTTTGTTACTCAACACTTCCATTGTTACACATCTTCGAAGTCAACCACTTTCAACCCCATATGAAAGAATTAGGTCCCAGTTTCCAGACTAATTTGAGAATTTTTACATCCAGTCAAACTATTTTCAATTTGATCAATTTTCTGCAACGTTTACAATCGTTCTATAATCAAACCAATTCAAATTCAAATTGGTTCGAACATTTTTAAAATCGAAATAGAACATCTTTGAAGTCAACCACTTTAAACCCCATATCTCCCACAACCTTATAGCTATCGAGACGAAACCACCATAGTGCACGAATGGAGACTTGGGGCTACTACCACATACAAACACCATTCATGTGCGATGTGTAGTTTTGGCTGAAAAGTGAAATATAAGGACACACACGTCCATATATATATATATATGAGCCGTTTATTTTGAAAATGGGGCAAGTCCAATTTTTGTTATTGCGAGATATTTAAAGGTTTGCATTTCAATAAATTTAAAAATATTGGTAAGTATTAATAGATATATTTTTAATATTTTGTAGTACCAGATAATGTAAGTTTATAATCCAATAGTGTTTACAGTGCTGACTAAAAAAACCTTTGACCGTTGAGCTTAATTACATACCGTTCCTCAAAGGAATGGTTAAAAAAATTACCAGAGATAAGAACATACAGATAGTTTACAAGCGTAATCCCATTGTATACAGGCTCTTAAGGAACGATAAAGGCAGTTACAAACGCAACACGATGGCAGAGATATACTCAATAGATTTAATTCTAATTTGGTATACATAGGAGCAACCATGAGAAACTTAAAGAAAAGAATTGCTGAACATAAGCACTCGGTAAATAAAAACGTAGACTCTACGGTGCTTACTGCCTTTGCCAAGCAACAGAATATCGAGGTCTTTTGGAATCGGGCGTCGATCATTAAAGCTACAAGATCCAGGCAGGCCATAAAACATCTGGAAAAACTAGAAATTCACAAGGCGCAGTTGCACACATACTGTATTAATCATAGGGATGCTGACGGATTGTCATCGGCATGGAAATCCTTCTACGACGAGTTGACGTAGTTTATGTAAGCAGGAAGAATAATTAAGATAATTTTTACTGAATGTATATATTTTATTTTATTTCTTTGTTTCGATTTAATTAACTTGTATAATTTTTGCAAGTATTTAAACTTGGTAAATGTTAACGTGCATTTATGTAACCGCTTTTTGAATTTTGTTTTACATAATTTCGAATTCTTCGTTCGATTCAAAATGATAACTGAGGATGGTCGCTTAAAGCGTTCGAAAGCGTTTTTAAGATATTAAAAAACGATTTGCTGGATTGTTTAAAGGTTTTGATTTTATTTAATACAGGAGATGTAGACGAGCAGGATATTAGGGAGTTACTTCAGGTTTCTGGTAAGAGCCTTACCAACAATGACTTCAAGAACTGGCAGAACAAGAATCTCTATTTTTCAGTTCTATATGAATAGGAATTCATGTAGAACTGAAAAATAGAGATTCTGAAAATGGATAACCCAAAGAACTTGCTACAGATTTCTTTAGTAAAAGTTTGGTAATGATAACCAAAATCGTTCATCAAATTGTAGCGAATGATCTAGATTTTGAAAGGAGTGCAAAAGCAAAACGAGACATTTTGGATGCAATCTTCTGCTACCAACATTTGCTTACGGAGAGAAAAAGCAACAAATGAAACTTCGCAACTTTATTGCTAAAAATATTTTCAGAAAAATCAGTACCTTCGTCACAAAAAATGAACTAATTAATATATTATTATACATTTCTGTATGCATTTGTCTATGTGTTATTTAACATATACAGTGGTACCGCAGGATATGAAATTTTCAGGATACAACATGAAATTCGAACATATTTTTGCTCCACTATACGAACAAAAACTCACCATACGACGTTACATTCGTTTGCAGCGCCATTTTTTATTCACTTCTGTTCATTGGTCTCACTCTGCGTGTTTGCTTCATCGTGGAAGGACCTCGCTCGATAAAGGAAATCTCGAGGTATTATCGGAAAGTGACCGATTTTATTGAAAATAAACATCCCGAAAAGGTTCACATTGACCGTATTGCCGCTCGGAGTAACGACATTTGCCTAAACCATTTTAGAAACATTTTAAAAAGTAGGCAAAGCCAAACCTCTTCGGATAGATATTTTACCAAGCCACCTCTATCCAGTGAAAGTGCTGGTGGAAGTGAAGGAAAGAAAGCAAAAGCTGTGAAAAAAAATTTTAAAAACATATATATAAAAACAACACTAATTTTTTTTAATCTTTTCTAAGTTATTTTTAAGTTATTGTTACATTATGTTATGCAAGTTAAGTTTTAGTATCATTTCCCTTCTCCCTCTCTTCCACCATCAGTTTACACCTCCACCGACGTCTATCCTCAAAGGTAAAGTGCAAATAAAACTACATTTTTTTCTTATCAATTATTATTCTATTATAGTTATTTATACATTTACAACTATAAAATGCTTTTTTCAGTGTGTTTCTTACTATACTTTTTTATTGTAATACTTAGCTTTAATTTGAGTGTGTTTTTCGTGTTGGAACGAATTATTTTGTTTTACGTGTAATCGTACGGGGGAAAAATGATTCACCGTACGACATTTTCGTGATACGATCTCAGTTTCCGAACGAGTTAATTTCGTATCCCGAGGTGCCACTGTATTAAATTACGTAAAAGATTATTAATTAAAGTACGTACGACGCATATAGACAATTTATTTGTCGTTGTGTTTTCATTCGTCTACGAAATCAGGCCATTTTCTTGGTTGGAAGCGACGATGGCTAAACATTGGCTCCAACCTCCGCTGGGAAGCGCCCGCGGTGGCCGGACGTAGCCTAAGGCGCTGGGCTTTGCCGGTGTCGTATACAACGGAGGGAAAGTACGGCCGTGGCCAGAAAACCAGGCCGAGACTTTGGAATTTTTGGACTGAAGAGACTCGGAAACGTCGACAAATGCAAAAAGATTTTAGTCGTCGTCTTCAAAGTCGAATATCTTGCGCGCTCATCTTCCGATATTTTGCAGGGAGGTTGGTGTATTTACTGACGGATGATATCGAATTCCAGATCGAGGGGTGGGCGGGCGAAGGAATGGCGTGTACGCGCGGAAGGGTCGGACTTAACCACGGTTTTACCGGTTATTGGCATTTACAATTCTTTTATTTTAGAAATTAGCCTTTTTGCCATTTTATGGTAATTGAAAATATAAAAAGTTTTAAAATAAAATATCGTAACGGATGGTGTTTAGGTGACGAGCGATAAAAAGGCCGCGTATGGCCATGCGGGGGGGAGAGTGGTCGGCCGTCTCGCGCGCCTGTAGTCGGCCCGAATGTCTGGCGGCAAAGAAAATCGTTTCCTCGGGTAGCGGCTTTTTCTAAGGGCCGGTCCAGTATAAGCCGCGGTTTCTTCTTTTTCTTTTTCGTCCGGCAACCGGAGACATTGCCGGGTGGACGGGTGGAAGTTTCCGTGGCCATTTTTCTAAACGGCGTATCGAAAGCCATACAGAAACCCTAAAACCAGACGTAAACACTTGGCGCAATCCGGAGAAGTGGAATTTCTTTCTCGGGAGTCTCCAGCCCAGGTATTTGTAGAAACGATAGGGCTAATAGGGGTTGAAGGGCGGCGGGTACCGTTCGGAAGCGCCCGATTTATCTTGGTGGGCGAAAAATTCCTAATGGAGAAACCACGGTCGTCTTTACCATCTTTAAATTAAACAGCGGCCTTTGTATAGCCAGAACGTACTTAAAAGTAGCGGGTGCGGAAGTAACCCTTTCTTTTACCTGGAAACTACCGACCTTCCGGTAGACTTCCGAGAAAATCCCTTGGGTAAAACCGACGACGGGCGTACGGAACCGGCCTGGAGGATTCGATTACTGTATTTACTTTTCTGGCGGTTTTAGAAAGGAATTGCGGCCAGAGTCCCGGCGTCGTTACCGGAAACTCCTTTAGAAAATGGCACCGGCCGACGTAGATCGGGCCCCGGCCTGTGTCGTGCGTAAAGTACTTTATTAAAAAAGGTGGGCGCGGACGGCCTAAATATGCCGATCCGGCGTTAAGGTGGTTGCCGCAACCGTTACTCGTGTTTTCGTAAAACGCGGTTCCTTCCGGAAAGGGCCGGACCGCGGCTCCTTCTACGGCGGATTAGTTTCGCCCTCCCGACTTTCCGTATCCGTTCCCGTATTTAAGGACTTTTGACGGCCTTTAAAATCCTTAAAGTACGGGAACGGAGCATCGGTCGCGCCTTCCTCTAAATCGGGCCGACACTTTCCAAGTCTGCCGATTTTCGTGGCCCTTACCTTTCTCGCGACGAGGCTGGCCGGGAGGCCCTTCCGGATTCTTTACTATAAGAATGGGAAAATGGGAAGATTCTCCGCTTTCGCTTTCTTCTTATTTCCAGGGAAGGGGAACGTCTTCCCTGGAAATAAGAAGAAAGCCTCTCTCTTACCGCTAAGCTTTTTCCGTTCTCGGCCCCAAAGAGTCGGCCGACGGTGGCCCAAGCGCCCCTTCCCGGAAAACGGCGGAAATTAACCACAACGGCGTTGGCGAAACTCGGTTTATTGCCTTTGTACAAAAATTCCGGGGAAGAGCGGGCGGCACTCGGGTCCCGGTATTTACAGGGGGGCGGGCCCGAGCGGAAAACCGGAAACGGAACCTCTCCCTCCGCCCCCCGGGCGTCGGATTCAGCTGACGGGCCGCGAGAATCCCATCGGAAAGGCTCCGTCGCGGAACTTGAAGTGTCGCTTGTCGTAGAACTTGAGCAGTGCCGGGCTGTAGGGGTGGCGACGCTTCAGGTGCAGGTAGTGGACCTCGGGCTCGTCGCTGGTGTGGCCGCACTCTTCGCACACGTACATCTTGGTCCTCCTCTCCTTGTAGGCGTACTGGTGCCCGATGCCGTGCACCTTCAGCCTGTGGGATTCCAGCGAGCATCGTTGGGTGAAGGACTTGTCGCACGTGCCGCACTTGTAGGGACGCACTCCTGCCGGAAAAACGAGACCCGCCGTTAGTAGCCGTATGGAAAGGAGGCGGTCCGGAGCCGCCGTCGCGCGCTCACCCGTGTGCGTTCTGGTGTGACGCTTGAGGTCGAAGGTGTCGTTGAAGCCCTTGCCGCAGAAGGTGCACAGGTAGCGCTTGACGTCGCTGTGACACTTGACGTGCCTGTTGAGCAGCCTCTGCAGTCCGAAAGTCTTGCCGCAGATTCCGCAGCTGGGTCTGAAAGAGACCGGAAATTAAACAGCGCCCGCCTCTTCCGCCGTCCCCGCCCCGCCCGCCACCTACCTGTCGGAATCGGAAGGGCGGGGAGCGGTCGTCCCGGCGAGAAGACCACCCCTCTCCTTGCGCAGGAAGGGATTTTTGATGCCGTGTCCGCCGTTGACGAACTCCAGAGGAACGTCCGCCGGCAGGGCCAACTGCGGGAGAGAGACGCCGATGAGAAGCGCCGGAAGCGGCGGCGGAGGGAAGAGGAGCAACACTTACCCTCTGCTGCAGGAGCGTCACTCCGACGCGTAGAGAAGGGTAGAGCGGGAGACCGTCGGGGGAAAGAGCGCCCTCCGGTCCCGGCCGGAATCGGAGGTCTTCTTGGCGTCCGGGACTGACGGAGGGTCGACGGGGCGAAACGGGAGGCGTCTGACCTCCGTCGGCGGCCGATTCTCGTTGCCAGGTTTCCGTCCACCTCTGGCGCCCGGGCGATTCCTCTGAAACGGAAAAAGGACGGTCTTTAATTTAAAATGGATTTTAGGCAGCGAAACGGAAGAGGAATCCGAAAACTTTCTCCCATCGGTCGACCTTCGACCCGACTCCGGCTCTTCTTTCGTCCGAGTAGCGTCGACGGCGCGTGCACGCAAACCCGGAGCCGACCTTTCTACCGGAAGCGGAAAGGAAGAACGGCGCAGTCGGTCCACCCGCCTCCCGAGCGGCGGGAAGGGAAGCGGAAGCCGGACTTTCGGCCTCCGCCGAAAACGGAACCTCCAAGCGCGTGCCGAAGGCCGAAGCCCGGTAGAAAGCGACGCGCCTCCTCCCGTCCGGTAACGGTGGGAGAAAGTGTCGAGCTTTCGGCGCCGACCGCCGGAGGCGCGCGGAGCGCGGGTCACCTTGAAACCGGAGGAGGAGCGGCGAAAGTGAGAGAGGTGAAGGCCAGGGACGCGGCGACCTTCTAACGGATCGACTTTCCTCTCGCGCTAACGGGTCGTCTCTTCGCTGTTTTTTTCCGCTGCCCGCGCGGAGGACGAGCTTCGTTTCCGACGCGGGCAAGGGCAATCCTATTTCAGGGAAAACCCCTTTTTCCGGCAGTTTTTCGCCGCGCCGATTACGTAAGAACCCGCGTCCGACGGCGCCTTCGGCCCGAGCCCGACCCGGCGACAGGGAAGGACGCCCTTCCGTAGCGGCGGGTGGAGACGATTTTCCGGGCCCGGACGAGGGACGGCGGACAGCGTCCGGCGAAAACGCGGAGACGGAAGAGAGAGGAAGCGGAAGACGGCGCTCTTACCGGTGGCCGGATCGACCTCGGGTTCGGACCCGGCCGAGACGGAGCCCCTCTCGGGACTGGGCGGAGGCGTGACGGTGCCGGCTGGACCCGGTCGGCAGTGGGGTCGGAACTTGCGGACCAGGAACACTTTGGGCATGACGATCCTCTCGACCGGCGACTCCGGCCAGACTGGCCTTCCCGGCCTCTCGCTCCCGTGAAAAAGTCGGCCGACCGGTTTTCGCCCGGCCCCGGCGCATGCGCCGTCCAGACCGCGCTTTCGGGTTCCGTCGGAGGCGACGGCGCGTTTCCCGGCGGATCCGCACCGCCCGGCGCCGCCTTCTCCGGGCTCTTCTCCTTTCGGAAGACTCCTTCCGCGGTTCCCATCCGGCTGGGCCGAAAAAGGGCGATCTTCCCCCGCCCCGAGGATGGCCGGTCCGGAGGAAGACGGATGAGCGCCCTTTCCGTTTCCGTCGGAAAAAGAAGTGCGAAAGGGAAGCGACGGCGGTCGGTGAAGGAAATTCCCGAATTTGCCGATGATTCCTCCCGGAAATAGGAGTTCCTTCTCGGCTTGCGGCCCTTTCGCGCGGCGTGCGGACGGACGCGACGACAGAAACGGGGAACGGGGGAGGAACGAGCGGGGGTTGGCGAAGTTTGGCCGAGACGCGTGTTTTTTCTTTCCGAAGGAGACGACGATTTGCCGTCGGGTAGGGATTCTCCCGTCAACCCATCCGAAGTTTCGGGGATCGATTCCGTCGGAGGGCGGAAAAAGTCGCGGGGAGACGGAGTCCATCTTTCCGAACGAAAAATATCGCACGTTTCCGGACGGTTCCGCCGAAAAGGGAAAGAATCGGCGCACTCTCGGTCCGAAGAGGAGCGTCCCGACCCACTTTCGTCTGTTAGGGAAAGAAAGGGCCGCTCCTCTCCCTTTTTCTCTTTCCCCGTTAAAAAACGGGAGTGGCGCGCCCGCCTCCCGACAGATGGCCGCGCCCCTCCCTTCCTCGCGGCGGCCGCGCCCCGGACCCTTCGGGCCACGCGGCGGGAACCCGGGCGCTGCCCCTTCTTCCCCGATTTCTCGCTTTTCCTACGGAAAGGAAGGATTCCGCCCGACTGAGAGAAGGACGGAGCGGGCCTCCGTCCGTCGGAGAAAAGAGGGCCTTTCTCGCCGAGTCGACCGCGTTTCTACCTTTCCGCCCGGCCAAGGAAGGTTCGTTACCGAAATCTTCTTTTCTGTCCTCCCGTACCGACGGGAGGACAGAAAAGAACGTCGGAAACGTCGAACGTTGGCCGGGGCCCGGGAGGGCCGTCTCTCCCGGGCCCCGGCAGAGTGACGACCGGCTCTCGGCCGTCCTCCGTCTCCGATTACGTGGACGTGGCGGGCAGAAAGCCGCGACTGTGGACTCGATTTTCCGTCTTCTTCCTCCCGTTCCCTCACCACCGCATTACCCGCGCGTGCGGCCCGCGTCTTTCTTCGCTAAGTAAGGTTCCTCGTACCCGGCGGCCGCCTTTCTCCCCGCCGCGCTCGACTGTGGGTCAGTGGCACGACCGTCGCACCTGCCGCGCGCGGCAGGTGCGATTCCGTCGGTCGTCCACTTTCTCCGAAAGATTTGGGCGACGAATCGGACGGGAGTCGTCGGCCGACGCAGACGGGCGCTTCCGACCCCCGGGATTCTTTTCGTCTCGGAGGAAAAGCAACGTCTCCATTCACGGGGAATGTCTTCTTTCCGTCTCCGTGACGTAACACGGGGCGTGGGTGGGGCGGAATTTTCCGGGGAAGTACGAACGGTTTTCGCCGTCGAAAAGAAACGGGGACGCTCCGGAACGGTCGGAACGAACCGGCGGATCTCTTCTCGACTTCCCCGCGGCACGAGCCTCCGTCGCCTCCTCTTCACCACCTGCCGCCCAATTAGGGGCAGGTGGACCCGGCCGAGTCGCGCCGCGCACCCTTGGGCAGTATCCGCGGCCGTCGACCGCCCGAACCGCTTTCGCCTCTCCCGTCCGCTCCCGATCCGGCCTTTTCTTCCGCTCTTTCTTTCCTTCCGGTCGGAGGTTCCTACTACTTCTCGGGTCCGAACCGCCGTCCCGCCGCCCCCACTTCCCGGGCCCAGAGTCTCCGTAGTAAACGGGGGCGCCGTCTCGTCCGGCCCGAAACGGACCAGAACGAGAGAGACAGAGAGAGACAGAGGCACGCGCGACAAGTGTCGACGACGGAGCAGCGCGCCGAGCGGGAAGCCGGGGGCCCCAGCCCCCGGGCGCCGGCGGATCGGAGCGCCCGGGGTCGATCGTCGTCCTTGACCCAGTGCCCGGCCGGTGGCTGTCGTCCCCGCGCTTTAATTACGTCTCTCCTCCGGTATTTCCGGTGATTCGTTACTGGCTTTCGTGACTTAATAACTCGGCTCGGACGGGGCCCGGGGCCACGCCTGGGCCGCCGGCGTCCGCGCCCCGAAGGAGAAGCCCCGGCGGGATCTTTCCGCCGGTGGGGTAGGGTGTCCGAAAGGGGCGACGGGCGCGGGCCGAAGGAATTTCCGCCCGAAATAGAAAGCGAAGAGGACGTCCGGCCGGGCGGCCCGGGGGTTTTTTTGGGTCGAGACAGATGCTCGCGCCCGGACCCTGTTTACTTTCTCTTCCGATAAACATCTATTCTTATCCGGGGTCGAACGGAAAAAGTTATTTCTCGCCCTTGTTGACGACTTTCGCTTTTGGTCCCGGCCGCTCCCCGGGTCGACGCCGAGGAAGTGTGTCAGTGGGAAAGCGTCTTCCCCGCGTCCCTTTGTCCTCCCGTCCTGTTTACCCGGATCCCGGCGGTCTCGACCTCTCGGCGGGTCACCGACTTCCCCCCGAATCTCTCCCACCTCGGCACCGGACCGGAGGGCGCTGGCAGGAGCCAAAGGGGTCCGACGGAGAAAAGGCGGCGCGAATAATTTTACGCGGTGGGCCAACAAGAAAAGAATTAGTCTCTCGGCTTCCCCCCGTCGAAACAAAAGGAGCAGAAACGGCTTTTAATTGGGGTGGGAAAACAAATCCAGGTTCCGCGGACAAATTCCGGACGTGCCGACGGGTAAGAAGCGGGTGGGTGGGTTCTCGGGCCGTGCGGGCCTCTTTACCCGCCGCGCGACGCTCGGGACGACCGACTTTTACTCCTGCCGATGCCGAACTGCGGCCCGGGCCTTAACGTTTCCGGCCGACGTTAGAAATGCGAAGGAAAACATCCCAGATATAAAAATCGGTCGACGTTTTTCTTGGGTAAAGACAAGCTGGGCGTCGGGAAGCGGTACCCACACGATTTTTGCCCGTATTTACCTGACATTTGGCCCTTAAGCGCCCAGCTTGTCTTTACCAAAGAAAAACGTCGACCAATTTTTATATCTGGGATGTTTTCCTTTCCGTATCAATCGTTTTCGTTTGGTAATCGTATTATTACATCGAGACATAAGACGATCCGGTGGGCATTGGGCCACCGAAGGCTTTGGACAGGCCGCACGGTGGGTCCTGGGACGATTGTAGGAGGACGAAAGTCAAAAAATGCGTAACTGATAATGACCCTTACGTATTTATGTATGAATAAACAAGATTGCAGCCAGTCAATCGCTACCGATAATTTTTAAAATACGCCCCGTGGCTTGGCTAAGCAGCGAATGAAAAGCATGAGTTTTATATCTGGTGGGAATGGTAACTTTAGCGTCGTGTTCGGACTTATTTCCAATAGTTGTTTGGCTGGCTGTTTTAAGTGTTTTTATTCGATACTAAGACGAATAGTAATGGCCAACGTATGTATTTTAATACGTATATTTCATTAATAATAGTCAATGAGAGAATTTTATATAAAACGATGGCAAACCCAAGGGATTTTTACACTTTATTTTAAATAAGTAGAACTTTTAAACTTCCGCATCTTTCTTCGTACGTCTTTCTACCTTTTCATTTCATTTTCTCCGGATTTTTCAAGATTTTATAATTACGTCTAACGGATGTTTGCGCGCGGATTTTGACGTATAACCGTTTTTTCTTTCACGGGGCGATGGCCGGTAGTCAGCGGGAGCCAACTCTTTGAAAAACTAAGAGAAAAAGATAAAATGATAAAAGGGTCATTCCAAGTAAAAAATATTATCGTAGACTACATTAAAAAAAGTTGAGTTTAACAAATCCTTGTGGAGTTAGTGGAAAATGAGTTACGTGCAATTACCCGTTGTTTTTCCGTTGGTCTAAGTCAAAGATGGAAGAAACGTAATCGAAATATTAAACATTTTTCAATCCAAAAGCGCTCATGGCTCAACGATTAGATAAATACCGAAAATGTCCATTTGCCACAAACTAGCGCCAGCTGTAAAACACCGCAAAAACAAATAATGGGACGTCGCATCCAGCCAAACGAACCATCTACCTAATATTAAAACCAGGCAATGTAATGAAGAAACTTTTTCGTTCGGTCTATCGACTCTTCCTCGTCACGTAAGATTGGTGGAACGCATTCTTCGGGTAGCGTATCCAACGGATATTAAAAAATGGCCAGTGCGCCAGACCCAAGAGAAAGAGTCAGTACGGACGAGAAAGAAAAATATTATTAATTAATAGATTTACAATCGAACTGGTTTACTTCTGGGTACTCCCCAGCCAGGCGGTGGAAACACCGACCACGGTAATTAGGCAAGATCTCTTTCTCATACCACTCTTACTGCGGAGATAACCGGTGTTAACCACAACCTAATACAACGATTTTCGGTTATATAACCAGCGCCGGCATCGGGCTACGAAATCGATACCGGCAAATTCGAAATCTACCCGAAGGAAACGGCGGAGTTATCATTGTTATCCCGTGCCAGTCCCTCTTGGCAAAGTTTTAATACGCGGATCAAAAATTCGTTTCCACTTTCGACAGGACGATTGTCCGAAGAAGCGCGAGAAGCTAGACACCAGGAATTTTAAAAACTTGGTGACAATTATTCTCCAAAAACCTATTCAATAAACACTAATATAGATATTTTACGTATAATTTCTTCGGATCCTCTGGTTACAAACCTCACATCACTGGGTATAAAAAACTCCGTTAACTGCTAACGTTTTAAAATTACTAAAAGCACCGAGCGTGATAAGAAAAATCCCAGTCAAACTGCCAATGTGACTCCGATGGGTAAAATTTTAGTTAATACGATATCTAAGTAAAAAATTTTTATTATAAAAATGAGTTGCACCGGCCGATATACTTAAGTCCCGCTAGAATCGTCCCACCACCCACTGCGCGCCGTTTAGTAAAATCGTCATAAGAGCTTTTGTAATTCCCAGTGACATTTTGAACGAAATTCGTTGATTTCCACGCATTTTTATCTTTACCGGCATAAAATTAAGCCTTAAAACCCAATGGGCCGGGTGGGAACTCGGACCTTTCGACCCGGAAGTTGGGCCGGCATCCCGCCGACCA